GTTCTTGCTTTTATTTCTAATTCAACATCATCATCACTATCAGATGAAAATAAAATTCCATAAGAGCCACAAGTTGCTTTTAATGCGACATTTTTTAGAATTACGCTATATAATGTATGTAACTAGAACCAAATTTAAATCAGAACCTATTTTAGCTCGAACATGTGTTTCTTGGGAATTTACGATTAACCAACCTTGGGTCGTTCAAACCCTGTATAATCAAAAACGCTATTAGACGAAATGCATTACCTAGGGCGGTATTCATAGTCCGTTCTTATATTCAAGATCGTCTTAAGCACGAACTTATATTCGCTCTCTTCGTCAGACACAATCTATGTGTGACGAAGAGAGCGAATATAAGTCCGTGCTTAAGACAATCTTAAATATAAGAACGGACTATGAATACCGGCCCTAGTGTATAATAACAACAGCATACGTATAACGTTAACCAATCAGATTCAGGCACAGTATCATGGCGGACCCCCCGCATTTTGGCTTCACTCCCCTCGTCTATCAACCAAGTTTACGCTCCGTCCCTATATTCCTATGTCCATGCAACCGACTCCCGACAGCTTCATGCGACAGCCGACAACCAAGTGCGCATGCGTCCGACATCCAACGCCGACATACGACGTATTGTAGAACAGGCCTTAAGCGGTGTCTACAATGAGATTTTAAGATGTAAAACTTAAGCTTTAAGTCGTAATTTGTGACGTCATTTCCTTTCGTAAGGCTTTCCTACTAGACTTTTAGCCGTAACTTTAAGCCTCAAGCGAATTGGCGAAATCTCAATTTTTACGGCTAAAAATTTACGGCTTAAAGTCGAGTATGATATAATGACCAATAGAAGCAAGGTTAGCGAAAATACGTACATGTTAAAATATTATGTTGACTTGCACGTTGCACGATGGATTCAAACGTAGAAATATTGGATTTAAATGAAACATCACATATTGATGATAAAGTTCTAATTTCTGTTGTAAGAGAAAACCCAGTGTTATTTGACAAAACGTTAAAAGATTACAAGAACAAGGAACTTAAACTTGAAATATGGAAAAGTATTGGGGGAAGTTCTTGGCTGTACAGGTTAAGTATTATTTAAGTATTTCTTCAAATTTGTAACAAAGTAGTAATAATTTGTTAATAACAAATATTTTTATTTCGGTGACATTAGGTGAGCAAGTAGAAGGACGTTGGATTATTCTTCGCAATACATTTACTAAAAAATTGCAGGAAATGAAGAATCAACCTAGTGGCTCAGGATGCAAAATGGCAAAAATGTGGATTTACTTCAAGCAAATGTCTTTCTTGACACCGCACATTGCACATCGAATGCAAGTATACAGTTATTTTTGGCAAATATCTTATCACTATGATAAAATCTCAATATTTTTATCCATATAGGTCACGCAGTTCTATGACAGCATCCCAAGAAAAAAACAATGTATCACAAAGTATTATAAGGTCTTCGATACTCATCGAAGACTCTGCAGATAAAAACATGTCAAGTCCATTATCATTAAATAATGCATGCAGTTATGTAAAATGCTGTAAATGTGCTGACATGCTCAGATGATAGTATTAGCAATCCATCACTTGATGAATCTTGTAGTATTACATCATCAACTTCAAATCAGCAATCTCCTGGTTACTTTGATAGACTCTGAGGATAATGTATTTGAGTATACAAATAAAAATAATAAAGTACAAAAGAAGACAGCTGCAGATATCGTTACTAAGACCATGAATAACGTAATCCAGAAGAAGAAAGTGCCAGCTCCAGATCAATTTGCAGTAAAAAAGCAGAAAACAACGGAAACAATGGAGAATGTATTGTGTCAATCTTCTTATGCTCTCAATGTAATGGCAACAGCATATTTGAGTCGTACTACTGTGGAACAGCACCATCCGTATATCACTGCAATAGCTGAAGCAATGAGACGAGTACCGAATGAACAGCAATTGACTTGTTTCATGTCAATTATGCAAGTTATTTCAACTCATTCACAAGACAAATAATTATAAATTGTTCGGTAACTGAGGTATATCTTTAAACATACAAAATATAGTTTTTAGTTTTTATACATTCTGTCTTTCAATATAGTGCAAAAAAGACATAGTTTTATTATAATTTGGCGCATATGCTATTCTTTTTTATTTTGTAATATGTTTTTATTTTCTCTGTTTTAATAATTTATAATATGCATTTTTTTTAGTCAATATCAATTACATTAAACTTTTGTAATTCTTGATAGACTGACATTTCTAAGACTTTTTATTTCTGTCTAAAGTATTGAAGTAAAATGATAGTTTTATTTCTAATCAAAGATTAATTATTGTGCAATAATGTTTTTTTATGAATATGCGTCTATTAGACATTACCTGAATAATATGGCTGTTAAAATTTAAAGTATAAATGATAAGTACAATAAATAATGTGATAAAAAGTATAATAATAAGTATACATATATATGTAAAAAGTATATTTATTAAAGTTTTGTTAAATACTACAATGTATACATATGCTTTGTACAATAACATGTATATGTATAATAAAATAAATACCAATAAAATTAAATTTATTTCAGTTATTTAGTAAATTAAGGAATATTTATTATTCGACCTCTATTAACAATTTCCCATTGCCAAGGAATTTGTCCTTGATCTGAGGTGAAATATGCAGCTAGTGTGTCTTGTTGCTTCATTGCAACTGTGGCAGCATGATTAGACCCCATCGATTGAGTCGTGTTATACTTCCAGGAGTGTTTTCACCTCGCCACAAACCAGAAACAACATTGCCATTTTCATCGTAATAGTCTACATAACCAGATGGACAATATGATTTAAATCCAACAATGTGTTCTTCTTTTTTCATGATAAAATTATGTAAACAGACTACAGCAGAAATTATAATCTCTACATTATTTGGATGCAAGGCCAATGTGGTTCTCAGCACTCTCCACCTAATATAAAATATTTATCGCTGTATCGACATTGATTTTTGTATAATTCAATGATAAGGAATCACAATAATTTATTACTAATCAAGTAATGATCTCACCTGGTTACGAGAATTCCAAAAGCGTTCTCAATAACACGTCGTGCCCTTGAAAGTCTATAATTGAAAACTTTTTGTGCAATTCCTAACAAGTTCTTTCTTGCATATGGTCGTAATAGATTTAACCGCAAGGGAAAAATTTCATCACCCACGAAGTAGTGATTGACTAGCAATGTTGAGTTTGGTAATACCTTTGGTGGTGGCAGATCTAATTCATCACGTTCTAGAGCACGTCCAAATGCCGATGCACTGAGGATACTTGTGTCTGATAATGATCCTAAAATATATATTTTATATGCATATTTAAAAATTTGTTATTATTTCAAAAACTTTGTAAAATAATACTAAATGATGTATTCTCACCATAATCTCCAATGTCTACAAAAGTAAATGCATAATTGGCATCACATGTAGCTAGCAATACTATGCTATAATATCCTTTGTAGTTATAGTATGCTGAACCAGAATTGGGTGGACATTGCACACGGATGTGCTTTCCATCTAGAGCTCCAACACAATTGGGAAAATTCCATCGATCATAAAAACCTTTCTCAATATTTTTCCACTCCTTTTGAGAAGGAGGCTTCAAATATGTTCCTTGAAGACGTTGCCAAATAACATTGCATGTTTCTGTAATTATTTTATAAGATGTTGATCTGCCTATGCGCCAATATCTGGCCATTGAAGGAAAACTGTCCCCTGATGCTAGAAAGCTGTAAAAAAGCGCGAACATGCAATTTAATAGAAAATAGAGAGAATGTGTGTAAATGAACGTACATAACAGGGCGATATACATACCACACTGTAAATGCTAGACGGAATTCAGGATCCAGAGATTCTCGCATACTAGTCTTTATCAAGGCAGACCTAGTCAAATTGAGCAGTTCTTCAAATTGTTCTACTGTAAGTCTCATCA